CTTCACAGTTCCTCTCCATGGCAAATCTCTGGCTTGTTTGTCCACCTCCATCTGTGAGAAGGAGAAAGATGAACTTTGTAGAGGGGACAGAAAATCCATGTTCTATTTCTACCCTGTAGCCTAACAATGAAAGGAGGACTAGCCCTTAATCAACCTTTTCAATGTTCAGGAGATTTTCGGAGGCGCAGTGCATTAGAGATGAGCAATGCTGGGGCTGCGGGAGTGCACTTGGGCAGAGGGGGCAATGATGCTGACTGGTTGGCATATGCTTGTTTTGGTAACACAGATCATCTTCTCTCAGAGGACATGCTGTGCATGTGGGAATCTTTTAGCATTCAGGATTTCAAATGTTGGGATAGCAAAGAACAGTGACTGCTAACATTGTGTGTAAAAGCAGTGGCACTTGCAACAAATAGGTAGGGAGCGCTTTTAGGACGTATAAGAAACAGAACATATCTGTACTTTGAAGATTATACTGCTTTCTAAGGGGAGTTCCATTAAGGATGGGATGTGTTCAGGACATTAGAATAGCAGAAGAGATAAGGGAGTGAACTAAATCTTACAAACAATGTTGGGAGCAAAGGAATAGGAGGGAATGGAACATATGAACATTTTCAAATGCTTATTTCTGTGGTGGCTGATGTCTGCAATTGTTTCAGGAGATGGTGCTTTTATAATAAATCTTCCTATCACTTAAAAACAGAACCACAGAACATTTTACATTTGATGACTATGCAAACAGATTATAATCCTCATCAGATACTCTTTGGTTTTCCTATTTCTCTCTCTTTTGTTATAGCTTTGTTGTAAGTAGTTATAGCTTCATATTTACAAGTGTCACTAATGGAACCTAAACTGTGGAAAACTGTCATATTTAAAGCAAATATTGACATTTTGTGATGTACTGTGTACCACAGCCTATTTTTATGAGCATTTACAGGATGCTCTGGACAGAGCTGATCAAGTCCATTCTCAGGCTCCTGAAACATGAATTGCAATGAGTATCTACAAATTTAAAAGTCTGGAGAATAATTGGATATAAATGCTGGAATTATTCTGAAAGAAAAACAACAACTAATGTTCTGGTCTACAAGCTATAGAAATTATGATGTTTGAGCAAATATTAAAAAATATAATCTTGTTATTGAATCCTTTATGCAGTGACATTATTGTAAAATTTACGGGAGGAAAGATGGTTCTTTATAGCAGGAAAATTTTGCCTTACAGAATATTTTTCATTTGCCCATTTTGAAGAGCCAAATAGATTTCAAGGGTAGAATTTTGTCTGGTTGAATTATGTAGGTGAGCCTTCATGTTTTATGTACCCTAACTAAATTCAAGAAGATGTACACAGTGTCCTTCTTTTGAGAAGTGGCAGGTGTGAAGAGTTTAATTGATAGCTTGTTTTAACAGAAGAACAGAATATGACTGGAAATTGTTCTGTCTAAAGAATCAGAAGCACAGGTCTAAGCAGTCAGGCATAGGTAGTCCAAAGGATAGGTAGTCCATGGAGATTTCCAGAAAGCTTCAGTGTTTAGATGACAAATCCCCAGGTGTGTGTTACCAAGAAAGCTGTAGGAGCATCTGTCATGGAAGAATGGAGAGATCGAATTGATGTTGCTGTTGCATTTTAACTCACCTTTTAATGAACAAATTTCCCCGTCACATGCTTGGAGTAAGTGGAAAGCAGGTGCTGGAACCATATTCCATTTGGAATAATTGCTCAAAAAAAGTCACAGGATCAATTTTTTTCTTTCCTTTCGCCCTAGACTGTGGGTTCAGCCAGCACATCCAGTGACACTTCTGCCTCCAGTGAATTGTACCAGTGCTATTAAGAGTATTGCAAGGTTGTGTTCTCGCCATGGAAAAGTGTGTGTTGCAGCTGTCTTTTCTGGTCTCCCCATGAGCCTTCAACACCTACTCTCAGTTTTCTCCAGCGCGTGTCTATGTGCGAAAGCTGAGTTGTAAAGTGTGCCGGTTTCAGCCATCATAGGGTTGTCATGCATTTTTGTGACTAGATTATCTAGTCTAATTATTTTTTAGACCAAGACACAAATATTTTGTTGTTCTGAAGAACAAATTCTTATGTTTAGTGTCAATGTTAGAAATAAGGAAATAAGTAACTCATCTTTTTTCAAAAGCCTCTCCTTTTCTTCAGTTCTGCTTTTCTACAGATGAAAAAACCTGCCTTCCTTTATTGCTGGCAGCTCTGCACACCTGGAGGTTTGACTGGGAACATGTTCTGAAAAGATGCTTTGAATGGGTGTTACTCTGTGGAAGGCTAAATCTCCCATAGCTGTTACTGCCATGCTCTTAGATTAAACTAAACAGTTTGGCGTAACTATTAATTGCTTCAATTATTTCCATAACTCCAACACCAAGGCAGCTTTGTATTTTTAGCTGGCTTAGTCATATCACACGGCCATGACTTTCAAGGCATTGTCCAAGGGAGACAAACAACTTACTTGCAAAAATTTTATTAGGCTGGAAGGCAGAAGTGTTCTCAGTGACAAGCCCTCCTGGTTGTTTTGCAGCCCCTGCTTGGCTGCCTGTTTGGAAGCAGCCTCCATGCCTTGAACTAGATTGTTTAGGAAAGGGCAGGACTTCTTTGGTGTATTGGACTTCTTTGGTCTGTTGAAGAACAGTAGAGGTGTAAAAGGCCCAGCCAGCCAGGTCTTTCCTGGTTCTTACATCAGCCAATCCCCAAAATGCCTCATCTTGAGAACACAGAAAACATCTCATTGAAACTGGTGACTTAAATCCTTCCCAGAGCTGGGCATCCTGCCCAGCTCCCTCCATCCTAAAGTCTCTTACAGAAGGGATAAAGACCATGAATCCAGAGAGGGCCGGGAGATTATTGGTCCAACAGACAATCCCTATTCTCCACCTGGATATGAAGCCAGTGTTGACTTAACCCTATGCACTAGTGTAAAGGTTAGAGGAAACCCAGCCTTGCACCACTTTGTGTTGTTAATGAAATTCTAGAAGGCAATGGAAAACAACTCAAAAGGCTGCACAATAAAGAGAAATTTTAATCCCGTGTCAATGAACACTTTAACCTGATTCATCTACCAGTCGCACTCTGTGCAAAGTGAGCCCTAATGATGCATCAGTCATTGGCCTGTGACTTGGTGTACAGTTGGTTTTTTTGTTTCACTTATAAATCTGTCCCAATTCCCATGTTTCTGAGGTTTTAATTGTAAGGCTTACAGCATGTTACAGAAATACTGAGAATTATACTTGGGCCAGCAGGAAAAGATGGCTTAACAGAATTTTTCTTTTTTGGTAGGTCCTTAAACCTAAAATTTCACAGACATCATTAGTATCTTACAGGCCAGATTATTTTTTTTTTAGACCTATCAGTGAGCAGCACTTGAGCTACAAAGATATTTTAGAGACAGAGTGTTACAGGCTAAGAGGCTGGGTTCAGAAATTGTTGTAGCCCCATAAAAACTGGTAGAGGTTACATTGAAGCTAACAGATTTACTGTAAGTCTACCACATTGCTGTAAGAGGGCTAGGTACATACATTAACTGTGCTGACAAAATTTCTACAGTCCGAGTTTGTTTGTCCTAACATTCACCTTATGCCTGCTGGTGGCAAATTCAGCTATGCACAAAATTATTTCCAGGTGATCTTTTTTGATCAGATTGTAGGACAAGCACCTGTGCAAAATGCAGTGGGGCAGGCTGCCCTCCTTCCAAGGCCCTACAGAATGATGGGGGCAGCTGAGACCAATCTTGATTTAATCTTGAGTTAATCATCCCAGGGACACACAGAGGCCTGGTGTTGCATGGAGCAGATGGAAAGACAAAATGGGAAATTAAATGTGAAAGTGAGTGCTGATTCTCACTGTAAATATTTTCTGTTCTGAATTTATGGTAAATAAGGAACAGTGGGATAAGAAAATTATGCAGTTCTAGACAGATACAGATTACAGGCTTTTTAATAGAGGTACTCCTGTGATGCCCAGTGAGCATCTGTTGGTTACAAAGTGTTTGCTTAGACTTTCACACACCTTCTCAGTGCGTCTCCAGGCTTCCACCCCTGCTAAAGGCTGATTTTTTTTATTTTTTTTTTAGAACTGTATTTAAAATATTCCTGAAAGAATTTGCACTTACAAAACTCTTGCGAGTAGCATGGCTTCTTATAAGGAGAGAGAGATAATGAACTGCAGTGTCTTAAAGGCCAGGTTTTTAAAGGTATTTAAGTGCTTATAACGATGGAAATTGAATATCTAGATGCTTTTGGAAATCCCTCAAGATGCTTAACTGTGTCTGTAGATGCTTTAATAAATTTGTTCCTAGTAGTTTGCCTAAGGTGCAGTTAGGCACTGCTAGAGAGTTGAAAAGGGAAACTTTCTCTTACTGCTGTAGCCATTAATCATTTTTGCCTTCTTTATGAGAAAGTGATGGGAAAATATAGCTGTTTATAAATAGGGAAAAATAGCAATGACTTATAAAAGGAAACCGAAGTTCTGCTTTTTCTGCATAGTAGACTTTTCCTGCAAGCTCATGCTTGTAACTTTAATGGATGAAGGTAGCATCTCACTGTTTGTAAAGTCTCTATAATCACCACACAATTAATCAAAATTATTTGCTGAATCCTTTCTATGGTGTGATTGAGGATCTGTGAACTATTAGGTAGCTGGTCTTTTAGAAAATCTGATCTGCTTAATGCATTTTGATCGTAAAAATCACATGCTATTATTTTTCTTTTCTGGTTGATCATAGTTCTTGCTGCAAACCTAATACATGGTTTGAGTATTTAATGTTCCCAAGTTTGCATTCATTTTTTTGACATCATCTCACTTACTTACAAATACAGGGTGAGTATGAATGCCAGGTGAAAAGATTTTTTTGTGTATTTACAAAAAAATAGTGATACAGTCCCCACAAGCAGCTTTTGTCAGTGTAATCTTTTTACCCTGCTTTTCATCATTACTGCATATTCTCAGTTTACTGTTTTTCTCATCAAATGCTTTTGTTTCCGTTAACCAGGATGCTGAGAAATTGGCTGGTGAAGAGCATGCCTGGAAAGAAGTCAAAGATGCTGTAAATGAAGTGAGATCTCCAAAATCAAAAGAAGGTATCCTTTCAGTGACAAGCTACAGTCTGTCACTCAGTTGTGAAAACAATCCAGAGAGCCCATAGGTATGCAGTTTATCTTTTGAGATCTATTTCCTAGAGTTTTACATTTTTATGTTGTTTTAAAATGTATTTTTAATTCATTTGATGTTTAAATTGTGTAATATTCTTAATTGTATTATTAATAGTAGAGTCTCTGATTACATGGACTAGAACTGCTTCATGTCAGGGATGATAGGTACCTAGGATATGAAGGGTTTAAACTTCTGCCATCATAGCCCACCACTTCATATAAATCCACTTCTAAATTAAATAAAGCTTAATCTGAAACACTGTTAAATTCTTTGTCCCATTACTCCTATTGTGAATATTCCAGGTTCTCATTCCTTGCACAGCAATGACAATAACAAGGACATAATCAGAGTCAGGTTCACTGCAAGCATTATAGAATCATTATAATAAGTTATAATAATACATAATAATAATAATTGATAATTAAGCAAATTGAATTAGATGATCTTGCACTAATAAACAGGACTGGACCTAATGGCCATCATGTAGATACTCAATCCAGTTAAAAAATTCGTGAACAGCAACAACTGAGAAAAGATGAGCAGAAGAGAGGTGGAGATTTTTACTAAAAGGCTATGTTGATCCTCTTCTCAGTCTGTTCAGTGGAATTTCACTGACTCTGAATTTGGCCTATTGTAGCAAGATATCTTGCCATTTTCAGAAACATGGGCTTTCTCTGGAGCTAGAGAGAATTAAATCTTCCAGTGCTCCTTTTCAGCAGCATGAAAACCAAGCTTGCATAGTGATATTCCAGGCTGGAAACAAGTGATCACAATTTTTATTGTAACAACAAAAAAACCCCAAACAGACCTGAGGTTGTTTCTTTGTAATCCAGATTAGTTTCTTAGCAGAAGGGAAACACTCATCTCATCTAACTTTAATTTTCATATAGTTTCTAGTCTGTCTTAATTTTCTCTGTAATCACTGGTTTGAGACAGACAATACTGAAATAGATCTTCAGACATTCAGTTATACTTCAGGGTCCGTGTTTTAACCTGGAAGTTAAATTATACATATGCAACATACAGTTGCAATCATTTTTATACTGAAAGTATGGAGCCAGAATACTGGTCCTATTTAATGTTCCTATATTTAATTGTGGGAGAAATTGCACCTAATGAATTTTTCTAGGGTCTTTATTAAAAGATTACTGATTTAACTGATATTTAAGAGTTAATCAAACACATTGTAGTGAAAGGTGTCAGAACTGGTTGAAAAAAATATGTCCTTGCTGTCTGTTCAGCTTCTGTTCTCAGATATGGGTTTTTTGACATGTGTCATCTTTCCTTCCACTGCACCACAATACCAGTGCTAATTGGCATGCCGTGGCCAGTGCAGTACCTGAAAGGGGGCTCGATGTTTGTCCACTTGCCAAGAATGAATAGAAAACCTTCCTTGCTGACTGAGGCACAAAGTCATTAGTTTCTGCAAATGTAATTTTTTTAGCAAATTAAACCAACAGTTCCTACATTTGCAAAAGTTAGTGACTTCCAAAAGCTGAGCTACTGATCATAACTGACACAGTGTTGTAAGAACTGCTAAATCTGCAGTTAGAGAATTTGAAACAATATGTGAGAGCAAACTGCCTCAGACCCAAATTCCAGTTTAAGCATAGAAATCGAGATGCTAAAGCCCAGTGCAAGGGGATTATTGTGGAGAAAAGGTTTCTTCTGCATCTCGGGACACACAACACTAGCAGAGCTGCTTGAGGGCTGGTCCTCTAGCCTTGGGCAGATACAGGACAGCCAGCTTCTCTTTTGTCCTGTTGCAGCTGATGGTGCATTTTCTAGTTTGCAGTTTACATACCTGAATATTTGATCCCAGCTGGTTTTGCAATATAGCACATCTGCTATTAGATGCTAGTGAGTGAACAAAGCAGTATAATGGGAAGTAAAAGCAGGCAGACTAATACTATGTATCAGCTAAAATGGTAATCTTTCAAGAATGTCAGTGCTTTGTGCTTTCTACAAAAATTGTACCAAGTAGAAATAATATCCCTCATTCTTCTGTTTGTCTGTCCTTAATCAGTTGTAAAGAATACATGGATGTTTGCCAGAGATATAAAGGTTAAGGTGCAGTTTTATAATAACACATTCCTTCCCTTATATGGTTCTTTCAATCCAAGGGCATGAGAGCAATTCACAAATAATTAGTTTAGCCTTGTAACAACCATGCTATAAATCCTGGCCCAGCCACACAGTGGTCACATTCTTAAATTTAAGTATGTAAATATTCCTATGTTCAGGAAGGACTAATTACTTCATCACAGGGTTACCATTATACGCTTAAATCCATTGCTGGATTGGGGTGAATAGTATTTTCAGTAATGTCATGTAGCTAGCTGCTGAACTTCCTTCCGTTGACTGTATGGAAAGGACTGTGATACAAACAATATTATTACTTCTCTTAATATAAAAGTCTATTTTTATTTTTTTTTATTTGATTTGTTCTTACTGGTGTGTATGATACCTTTTTGCTGTTTAGACTTCTTGCATTCTGGGACTCCCGTAAAGTGCCAGATAACAGTATTCACTTAAAATCTGGGAGTATTGGTATTCAACTTAGGTGTGGTCAGAGAAGGAAGAATCTGGTCCATAGAGAAGTCAAACCAGTGTAGCATGTAATGAAAATAAGTGAGTTGTGGTAAGGAATATCCAACTAAAGTGAATGCAAGTTCCAGCTTACTTTTCCTCTCTGCCAAACACAGAAAAAAAATCTTCTAGTATCATTGGAGGTAAAAATCTTTTTTACTGCCAAGATCCTTAATCCTGAACTACATTCAGACATCAGAACTGTAATGCTTTTCTTTCTCATGCATGAAACATGCAGCTGTACATGAAAAAAACCAACCTTCTTTACAACTGTTTCAAGGACAAAGATAATTAATTGCAAAAAAAGTTTCTAATTTCATGAGAATTCTAAACCAAATCTTGGGCAGCTTGAAAGTATGTGTCACTATTTTAATATATAAAAAAAAGATTTCTTTTTTCAGCTGCTGGGACATTTTGTTAATACACATTTCCATGGGTTCTTGCCCTTGGGTGTAAGATTTGGAGGAATATCTTCAGTAAATAATAATGTTTCAGTAGTTAAATAAAAGTATTTGAATTTTAGTTTGTTATGTATCAAAATATCCTTTCATTTTGTCATCTTTCTTTTACCCTTTATCTCTGAAATACTGCCTTCTTTAGAAATTGTTTTGCTAAATGTAAACAAAGCATGGTTACCTAAGCTACCATTTCTGAGTTCAAGTATGTTTTCAAGAATTGAAGCAGAGTCTGGAATGATGGCAGCTTTTTAATCTTAATGCCCTGTAGCTCTTACTCCTTGCTAAAAACATTCAGAACTTGTATTTTTGTTTGATTAAAGATATTTCTTTAACTAAGGCTAATAACAGAGTGGGAGCAGGTTCTGGCAAGATGCCAGAATCTCCTGAGCAGCAATATGGGTCGTCTTCCAGATACAAATATCTATCAGCTGAAAATGCTTGACTGTGCCATGGATGCCTGTATTAATCTTGAATCCTGGGAAGAAGCTTTGTATTATGGCAGCAAGACTCTGGGACCATACAGGTAAGAGATGTAATTTGTTCAGCTGCTTGCAAAGATGGAGGGGGACAGGAGGGGGATGGGGCTGTCTCACCAAAAGCAATGATTGTGTTTCGTCTAGATGCTTCTTACTGGTTTTATTTCTTGCTGTACATCTTGCCCTGCTTTCTAGGTTAATGGATGAGACTGGACTCCCATTTTGCTTCCACAGTCAGGCTGAGAGCAAATGAAGTTATAATAGGAACTATAATAGTAACTGATTATTAGCTCCTCACTGTTTCATGTGTTTAGATGCTGCCCCATCCCTGATCAGAAGCTGACTTTGTGGTTCAGACACCATTGCCGTGAGGGTACCGGTGGTTTATGCTGAGCTAGGTCAAACCTGAGGGACAGGTATTATTATTATTAGCTCCTCACTGTTTCATGTGTTTAGATGCTGCCCCATCCCTGATCAGAAGCTGACTTTGTGGTTCAGACACCATTGCCGTGAGGGTACCGGTGGTTTATGCTGAGCTAGGTCAAACCTGAGGGACAGGTAGCTGGCTGAAATAATGTACATTCGCTGTATACTCCATACATGGAGTTTGCAGAAAGAATTTAAAAAATCTTGCAAAATGCAGCTTCAATTGGAAATGAAAAAGGAACTGATCCTTATTTTGGGAGGGCACCAGAGTGGCAAAGCACTTGCTGTTCTTTGCTCCTGGTCAGTACTTGCTCCTATGCTATGTGCTAGGAGAGTTTCTGAGTCTGATGGCCTGTTATTGATGAGGAAGGATGCTCTAGGAGATCCTACTTCCTGTGGCGAGTCTTGAAATTGATTGGAGCCCAGAGCTGTAATGCAGCTTTCGTCATCTAGTGGAGAAAGAGCAGGTGCTGTCTGCTTTGGCCTGTGTTTTAAAAGCTCTAAGACTCAAATCTTTGGGTTCTGGATATTTGCATTGTTTGTAACTAAATGTAAATCTATGCTGAATGTCTAGATATAATGTCATTCACTCATGAATATTCATTCTTGATAAAGTATTTTTTTTTTTATCCATTTCTTCTCTGTTGGTTCTTCTACACCATGTAATGTTCCAGTACCATGTGATGTTGAGAACTGTGAGTGGCGTGTTAGTGCTGACCAATATGTACTGCTGTGAATGTGAACACCTCAGATTTTACATGTTTTCCCTGATCAAACCAGGATGCCATCAACTTTCAGCATCTTGCCTGAGGAAATGTCATCTGGCAGTCTGTTTCCGAACAAAATTCTGGCCTTTACTTAAGAAACAACACAGCATTTCAGAGTTTCCACTATAAAGTAATTAGCTAGAAATCTGCATAGGCTGTGGAACACCAGAGCTGTAGAGAAGCTCGGTGTTCATAATGACTATTACTTCTCGTAGAGGAGGGCATGAGTACCTACAAATTCTCACGTTTCTTCAGGGTGAAATACATGTCATGCATGTCCCACTTAACCTTTCAAACAGGGCTTGTGTAGTACTGCAGCAGTACATGCTTCCTGCCAGCCTTTTACCATGTGGCACGCTCCGGATGAACAGAGTAGTCTGCCTGTTTAAATGTTCCCTCATTAAATTAAAAAAAAACCCTCACTTGTGTTTTTTTCTTTTTTTTTTTTTTTTTTTTATAACTTGTTAACTAAGTTCTTCACAACGGAAAACTGAGGATCTTTCTACATTCTGAAAGCAGAGATTACAGTGAGACCAAGTGCAATTTCACCAGATAATTTAATAAAGCTTTCTCTGTTTTGCTTACTGAGGTGTTCTGTAGTTTTCAAGCTCTTTAATGCAGGGGTTTGGAGATGAAGGAAAGGGTTCGACTGTGCATTCAATTAGTATCTCTTAAGGAATGCTATTTACATGAGCTATTTGACCTTTTTCGCACCTTGAAGAGCTTGTCCTTGTTCTCTCCTCATCCAAAAACATTATTTAAGAGAGATTTTCAATTGTTTTTTCTTCATACCTTCAAGTCATCACTACAAGCTTTGACACACCTGAAACAAAATCCTCAGTTTCTCATTACAACAAATTGTGCCCTAAGCAGCAGGAGAGCAAATCCCAGGAAATCTTTTGGGATGCATTGAATTTCTCCTGTTGAATCAATCTACTGCTTGGCTGCTCCTGCAGTTCCATTATAGCTATCTATTTTCCTTTCCTCAGCTCTGGAAAAAGTATTCATATAGTTCTCCACAGGGAATCACCTGAGAATCTGAGCAGTCCATATAAATAGGAAATCATTGTTACAACTTTAAAGGCTCTGGAGATCTGGTCAAAAACAATTTTAATTTCAGGTAATGTGTTTATTGTGCATTTTCCATTTCTTTAGCAGCAGGATTAATTTTCAGTGCTGTGTGACATATTGTGTCGTAATGTATGTTTTCATTATGATGGTTGCTGACTTTGTCAGAATCATCCACTTCATATAACTGGCAGAGACAGATGGTTAAACTACATAAAACTGATTTGTCAGACTGAATACCAACCGCTGTATCTTAGGTAGTGACGGTAGCCTATGAGGAACATTGTTTAGGACCCCTCAAAAATTTTTAGAACTTCCAAAAGGGGAGAGATGGAGGCTGTCAAGATGAAAAGCTGCCTTCTCCTTTTGTGCCAAACCATAACTGTCCGTTATTTGTTAAAACCTACAACATGTACTTTTACTGAATAGCCTAAGCTATAGGCTATAAGCTATAGCTACACAGCTTTTCTTGTAAATGTCACTGTAATTGTGTATCTGTCCAAGAGCCTTAACAAAAATTAAGACATTTGCCTAAGTGAAAACTGCCCCACATCATAGTCAGCACTCAGCAGCTTGCAAAAATAAACTTCCTTTCAAAAATCCTCATGAGCCTTAGCCACAAAATAACAGAATATCAGCAAGAGGCGTTACATGGGTTTGTCACGTCTCAGTTAGCACGTTCACACTCCGGGCTGACTGCTGCTCCTGGAGGATCAGATTCAGAGATACTCAACAAGGCAGGCTCCCCTTAGGTTACCTCTGAGGAAGGACCCCAGAATTTAGCCCTTAAATTGCAGAGAAGGCACATATGTTCTAGGGGTTGGGTTTGGGTTTTTTTCCCTTGTCTCAAGTATTCAGTGTTTACACTGCAGACAAAGAGTGGAAGTATGCATCTGTTTCTGTTATAAAACTCTGCTAGATGTCCTCAGCTACTGCGACAAGAGTAATAGAAGGAAAAGATGTAGCTAAGTGACACCATGGTCCTACTGGATTTAGGAAGCAGAAGGGACTGGGTAAGCCGTATCGCCTCTCTGGGCTCCTGTGGCATCAGGTCTGGTGAGATCCTGATACAGGGAGGACAACACGTTCGTCTGTTTCTGTTCTGCCCTACTCATAATCTGCTGAATTTAAGGCGGACGTATAAGTCCCAGTGATTTTCAGATGGGATGTTTTAATTAATAGCCCTTCACCCCCAGTGCTGCAGCATTGGGATTGACTGGAGGGCTCCAACATTAACGAGAGGAAATTCCTTCTTTTCATCCTGTACAGAAGTGCAGTGCATAAGTGCTGTTCTGTCTCTACCCCCAGCAGCCTTGCACATCCTTCCCACTCAGTCCTCCCTCTGCTGAGTCAGCACCAGTACAGGGCTTGTGCTGATGTGGCTGTTCTGCTTCTAGAGTGGGAGGGAGCTGGCTAGGAGTGAGTATCCCGTATTTGTGTTAGACGTGCATCATTTGTCTGCTCTTCTCACTCCTCCTATTCTCTATCCCTTCCAGGGATGTTTTACAGTGTCCCATTACTTCACCTTTCCTCAGTGACTGAGATCTTTTAGGGAACAGGGAATGCAATCCCAGTCAACGCAATTTTGGATTGTTTTGCAGAGGGCTGGGTTTAAGAACAGTGGCTGGGATGTGCTTCTTGTTGAGTATTTTCAGAGAACTTGGTTGAATTTTCATTGTGTGAACAAAATGTGAGCCAGAAATTTTTTATTTAGAATTCTAATTCAATAGATATGATGGACTGTAGTTTCTAAGTATGTGAACTTCAATCAAAAGGCAGATTAAAAATTGATGGTTGCTATAGTAGCTTTTCCATGAGTCATGATCTTGTAAAAAAGCCAAAAATAGCTGTAGAACCAAATATTCTTGGAAGAGACTCTGAGCCTATTTTCTCTTCTTCAAAAAGGCTTTCCAGTAGTCTGATCTTCTTTTGGTCTGATCTTCCCCCCTTTTCAAATGTGTTTTACAAAAAAACATCCCATTCTTACATGTATGTGTTTTGTAACACACACATGATATATACAATGACTGGAAATTAATTTTTTTCATCTTTACCTATGATCAAATATAGATATGGTTCTTTACTGAGTTCAGCAGACTCCTGAGTACTGGCTAGTTCTGAGGCACTTGAATTGACATTTTCATTGAAAGTTGAAGCACCTAGAAAACTCAAAAAAAAAGAAGTGAACTGCAGTGATAAATTGGGCCACTGGGGGATGCTAATGCTTAAGGGTTAAAGGCTGGATTCAGCGCCAGTCGGCACCCTGGTTGCGGGAGGTCCCCTGGGGAATTGTGTGTGGCGGGCAGATTTCTGAACCTACAGATAGTAGTAACTCAGGGACCAAAGTTCAGTGCCTTAATCATAAAACATCAGTGGTAAACATAAATCTTACCTCTAGGATCACCTGAGAGGGAGACAAAAACGTGAAGGTGCAGAAAGCAATTCAAAGACAGAATGAAACAAAGAACAGAAAGAATAAAATCTACCTTGCTCACTTTTCTGGGGTTTTAGAAAATGGCCACGGGTATTTATCTCTCCTGTTTAGAGCAAAACGTGTGAAAAGAAGAGAAAAAAATCTTATTGAAAAACTGTAAGAGATCAAAAAAAAATACAGTTCATGGGAAAATCTGAGTATCTGGGGTATCCTTTCTTTCTGTTGTCTAAATAAAAAGGTGTGAATTAAGATTTAGGAATTCATTTTTGGTTCATGAATGGTTCCACTGATTTGTCATCTAGAGATGGTAAGATAGGAGACCCAAGTAAAAATCAGAGGTTTGTGAAAGGAA